CCTGTCATCTCTGCACACGCCTGTCATCCTGGCACTCTTGGGTGGGGGGAGACAGGCGTGAACAGGGAGTGCCGGGAGAGGGAGAGATGGGTGCGATCTTGGTCATCTCCCCTCCGCCCCCAGCACGATTGCAGCCATCTCCCCACTTTGGGGGGGGGGGATGGCCATGATCATGCTGGTTGTGGGGGAATGGCCGAGATTGCGCCCATCTTTCCTGCAGGAGCGTGCCCATGATCATGCACGTCTTCCCTGCACGAATGCAACTGCGATCATGGCCATCTCCCCACTTGTGGGGGGAGAGGTGGCTGTAATCTTGGTCGCCACCCAATGCGGCGTTTGCGGCCCATGTCAAAATTTCCATGAAATTTTTGTTCACAACCCGATTTGGTCATGAACCAAGGCGTTCGTGAGCCGAGGCACCACTGTACATGGACTATTTTGCACCTTTGCAGTGTTGACTATCTTGTGTTCATCAAGTGCTAACCATGCCGATCAAATCTATCTCAATTCAAGGCGGCAGCACAACAAAATGATGTGGTAAAGTCCAAGGCAGACAAACGCTCCTGTAAGGCCCAAGTGGAACCTTCCTGCTCAGAGCCAGGAAGATTCCAGTTGCTGGGGAGACAGCTCTGTCCCAGGGCTGCAGCTCTGCAGCCCGGCAATCTGGGGCTGCAGGGGAAGCCAGGCCCAAAAGGGACTTGCTCAACAGGGCTGCCCCGAGGAATGAGCAAGAACAAACTGTGGGCATGCCCCACTGAAGCCCCGCACCTGGGTGCGAGCCTGCCACAGACACTCGCAGTTGGTTGACAACATGCTGCCCTTGGTCTCCTTTCTGATTTGCACAAGTTTCTTAATCTGTGCACATTTTCGCTTAATCAGTCCCCCTTCAGTCTGCAGAGAAGATCTGCAGAACGCCCCCGTTTGAGCGCTGCTTGACTCGCGCAGGTTCCCCACCCACCTAGTTGGCAGTGATTGCGTATGCAAACAGACAAGCAAGGGGACGTGCAGAGTGCTCGCTCAGCCTCAGATGCTGCCTGCTCACCTGTCCCCGGCTGCGCTTCTGTTCCAGTCGCTTGGTATTCGCTAGGTAAAGGTGACTGCGTTCACTGGTGCGCACAGACCCCCTTTCCACATTTTATTCCATGTATTACACCAGGCTTGCAAGCCAGCACTTAAAAGTTGGTTGCCCAAAACCATTCATGCTGGCTCATCAGCTTCCCAAGAGAAGCCAGCTTCATCACAGGAACTGGTTAAGACACCAGGATTACACCTAATTCAGGCAAAGTTGCATTTTAAAAAGACACAGAATGGGAGTTTTAGTAGAATGATTCTGTCTCCGGGCCTAACCCTGTCATTAAAAAAAAGCATCCACTTCATTCCCACAACTCGATGTAAGTTAACCCACCCCCCCACCTTCTCCAAAGGGTGGGTTTAATTGTGCAGGTCTAGATTACCAATGGGTTTCTTGGTAATGAGGAGTTACTATAGCAACCACTCATTTGGCTAGCACCACTGGTAGCTCCCACTCATCTGTCTGCATGCAGAACATTTACTCTCCCCTCCCTAAGGAACAGAGGTGCTCCCATGCCCCATCCAGATACCTTAAGACCCCCCCCCGTGCTCACATGCAGGAAAGGCTGGAGCCTCCAACAAAAACAATGCTTGGACTCAGGCCTGAGAAGCGCCAGCCACCTTGCTCCGGGCAGCTGGTGCCAGTTCAGCCAACAGACTCCTGATGCTCGCTGGCCTCCAAGCAGCACAGCAACCTCACACGCTGCTCCTGGCACTAACCCCGAGCGGCCTCCGCCTGCTTCGGCCTCCTCCTCCTACTGACGCACCGTTCAGGAGAACACAAAAACAGCCTTGTGAGAGCAGACTGAAAGCAAACCTAGTCCAGTGCCGCGCATCCCGCAGTGGACAACCAGGAATGCGGCAGTCCCTTGACTCAGTCTTCGTCTCCAACTCAAAAGGTACGCTGCCCCCGAAACTGAGTGTTTTGTTCGGCCATCGCTGTTGTTCTTTCTGTGCAGCTGCTTGATGGCCCCATGCAACTTACGGACCCATCAAGTGCACCTCGGCTCAAAACCCTTCTGTGAGCTTCTGCTCCGTGTCATGGCAGCCAGTTCATGATTCCACCATGTGCTACTTCCAGCTAATTTCATCTGCCTGCCCTTGCTCTCCTGCCTGTCAGGGATCTCACTGCTTTCTCTCCACTATGTGTGAGTCAGCAACCATCGATCACCACCTTCTCCAGATTGATTCCCTCCAGGTGTATATGACTGCAACACCCATCATTCACAGCCAGCACAGTGGCAAAAAATGATGGGAATTGTAGTCCAGCACTCTTGGAAGGTGCCAGGTTGACAGCTGCTCTCTTTCATTTCTTAAAAAGCCCCAATGTGTTGGTCTTTTCCAACTGTTCTCCTGCATGCGTCTCTACTGAAATCCATCAGATGTGCAATCCCAAACACGCCTCGCAAAGAGCCTCTTCCTAACCCCTTGCTCCTGCTGGAGATCGTGTGAAAGCGGGACCCTTCTGAGCTGCAGCAGCCCTCTCTGCGGTGCAGGAGCCCAGCCAGCAGTGGAATTCAGTGCATTTTTCTCACCCAGTGCCTTTAACAGCTTTTCATACACCTTGAGACCTTGGCGGAATCTTTCCCAGAGCTTGTGACTTGCACTGCCTTTTAAAAATAGAATGCCAAGCAGGAAGGGCTATGCTTGATGTTGTCTCCATTGCCTTGGGCCAACCAGGCCCTCCTAGCTGCTTGATTTCTGCTAATATTCCCATTAGGGATTTCTTTAGTGGGGGAACAGAGGACCTCCACATCTAACAACACTTGACAGAACCAGGGGCACGACTGACAGCATCAAGTGCACCAGGCGATCGGCTTGGCCAGCATCTTCAGCTACACCCTTCCTCCAACTGTTCAGCCCAGCTGCCAGGGAAAGCCACAAGCGGGCAGGAAGTGCCATGCACACACGCAGCAATCCTGTGCCCACTTGACTGCGTAGCAGTTTCAGAGACACTGAATGGCATCACTTGTGCCGACAGTTTTAAAACCTTGTTTGTTCTTTAAATTGGTGCCTGGCCACAAGATTAGGCCTAATGGAGTACTCTGGGGCCAGAGTATTTCTGATCAAATTAGTTCCTGGGGTGAGGAACCACACTCGCCCAGTGCCTGAAAAAGCTGCCAGAAGGGCAGTGGCACAGATTCGCAATGCACTGCTGGACTTGATCTAAACATCAAACAAGCACAAAGACCCTGAAGTGATGCAGATTCCACTCTTTGCCTCTTCCCATGGCTCCTTTCCCCTTAAAAACAGAAGAGGCCCTGTCTGGCCCTCTGGAGTCCCCTAGCCAGCTGTGCTCCCTTTGCCCAGCTCCATCCCCTTCCATCAACTGCTGATCCTTCAGTGCTCTCCTTGCTTTTGTCCTCTCCTTTGGCTGAGCTGCAGACAGAGAAGGCCTTCTGCCAGGGCAGCCAGGTGCCCTTGGCCCTATCCATCCTTGGAAAGTAGCCCCTAAGAGCTGAATCTGCCAGAAGGTTTCAGGCCTCAGGCTGAAAAAGTTTCCCCTGCTCACCCCACATGCACCCCCCCCCCGCCTCCTGTTCGTCTCTTCTGCTGCCCTAGCACAATGCAGGAGCAACCACTCCTGCACGTCTGTAGTAAATGCCAGGCTCTGGCCGCTAGTGTGTATTTACTCGAGAGAAAAGCAGGTCCATCACAGGAAGAGCAGGGCTGCCGAGAAGCAGCCAGAGGAGTAGCCGCTATGCACTTCTTCCTCAGTTCACAGCAAACCACCCAACCCTGCCCAGAGCCCCACCTGAAATGAGTGTGGAAACCCCACTGAGCCACTGCCAAGGGTTACGTCACTGACGGTGGGCCATCCAGCCTGTCCCCTTTCATGCCTCTCCCTTCAGGAGATCTGCCTCAGAGGCCACAAAATCATAGAAGTTGGACGGAGCCGTGAAGGCCTTCGGGTCCAACACCCTGCTGCTGCAGGACACCAAGTTACACCATCCCACTCAGAGGGCTGTCCAGTTTCGCCTTGAACGCTCAGTTTCTGAGCTGCAACTGCACGTGTGGGAGGGTGGACTGCGCACTGCCAGTGGGCTGCCAAAGAGCACTGAACTGCAGCTGAGAGGTGAGCTGGTGCCAGCTGAGGCTTTCTGCACAAGTTGACAGATGCTGCATTTTACTGGGAAGTTGGGAACGATTCTGCCTGTCAACACATCTACTAGACTCATTTGTGTTGTGCATGTTGGTTGGCTTACTGGTTTTTTGTTTCATTTTTTGGCTGAGCAGCCAATTTAACGTAAATTCATCCAGGCAATGAAATGGAGAGAAGTCCAAAACAGAAGCCATCCTTTTCTACAGTCACCAGAAATAAGGCCAACATTCAGAAGAAACTAGTACCCATGGGGTCATTAAGAAGGGCTCTCATGCCTTGGTGGCTGGGGTGGCTGCACCAAATCCAGATCAGAAGGTGATCCCCTCCCATCCTGCCCCTCCAAGATCAGATGCCAGCTGGGGAACTGGAAATGTGGGGCCTGCAGGGAGGTGAGCAGCGCCCCTCCAGCTCCCCTTCCAAGCGCATGGGTCTGCCCCGGCTGTGAAAGTCTGCCAGTTCCATGCCAGGAGTTTATTCCGTGACCTGAATGTGCACATTCCTACTAGGAGCAGTCCTGAGATTCCCAGTTCAAGCCCTCCAAGCACATCGGCAGATTCTAATATCATGTCAGAGATCTCTACAGTGCTCACATGATACTCACTGGAAAGAGCACTGTCCCAGTAAGCCTACAATTGACAGGTATCCCAAATGAAAGGCATCCAGAAGCCCCTGATCAATGCGAGTGGGGAAGAATCCACCTGCCAGATGGCCCTGCATCAGACACACAAGGCCCTCCTTTCTATTTCATAGTGAACACCCTCGTGGAGCCCAGGACAGCACCAAAACGGCACCTCAAGACCCACCAGCAGGCACCCATGGGACTTACCTCCATGTACAAATCCATGCATGGTGCAGTCAGATGGTCCCACCAGGTGGATCAGGCTGGACTGGCTATAGCCAACTGTATATGGTTCTATGGGAAGGGAAAGACCACAGATGGTGAAAGGGTAGAAGATGACCTGCTACAAACAGTGACATTCCACACCTTGTTATGCACACGTAGGTTGCTCAGGAATTCACAGATGCTTCCTAAAACCCTGCTGGATCAGACCAGAAGCCCATCCAATCTAGTGCCTCTTCCTGGAAGCAGCCAGATCCACACGCCTGGGAAATTCCTGAGCAGCACACACTGTGCCCTGCGGGGAGGCAACATATGCCATTCCAGGTGCTTGGCCTACAACTTGCACGTCCTCTTCTACTGGCTAGGAGAGCTAGTGAAGATGGAGGCCAAGATGACTGGAGGGCTGTGAGTTTCCCACCGAAGGATCAAAGCAAAGTGCACTGCTTGCCTCTCCGTGCTGGGCTTCAGCTGCAGAGGAGTACTAGGAAGTCACGGACAGGCAATCCCCAAGCCACTGACGTCTGAGTTGCAAACTACCCATACTTACAAACAAATTGCCACTATTAATTTTTAAAGAATTATTGCAGAAAATCATCATCACCACAGAGAAAGAGGAAGGGAAAGGGGAGAGAGGAGGTCTCCAAGGAGGTCTCCTGGCACTTGGATAAGTGCAAGGTCTTGCACTTGGGGCATAGGAACAAGTGGATGGAGAGCAGCACTTGTGAAAGGGACCTCGGGGTGCTGGTTGACTGCAGGCTAAATGAACCAGCCGTGTGATGCGGTGTTCAAGAGGCCGAACGCCACCCTTGGTTGCATAGCCAGAAGCGTGGCTTCTAGATCGAGAGAGGTATTACTGCCACTCTATACAACTCTGGTGCGCCCGCAAGTGGAGTATTGTGCTCAGTTTTGGGCCCCTCGTTACAGGAAGGATATAGCCAGGTTAGGGTCAGTGCAGAGTAGGGCCACAAGGTTGGTGGCCGGTTTGCAGGGGATGCCGTATGAGGCAAGACTGAGGGAACTGGGTCTCTTCAGCCTGGAGAAGAGGAGACTCCGAGCGGATCTGTAGGTGACATACAGGTATGTGAGGGGATGTCACATGGAGGTGGGTAGAGACCTGTTCTCCCCTGCAGAGGAAAGAGGATGCACTCCAACAGAGCCAAGCTCAGGGAGCCAAGGTTCCATTTGGATGCCAGGAAGAACTTCCTGACATTTAGGACGCTGAGGGTGTGGAATGGGCTTCCACGAGAGGCCGTTGAGGCCCCATCGGTGCGGGTGTTCAAAGATAGGCTGGACATGCACATGGTCGGCATGTCGTGAGCTGGAGCCAGGGGTCAGACTAGATGACCTGGGAGACCTCTTCTGACCCGCTCTGCTTCTATGTTTCCAAAGTGGTCCTTCTTGTCCTGCCCATCTGGAGAGGGACAGTGGGGTGGGGGGGGGGGGGTAGAGATATTAACATTTTCCACTTTCAGCAGGGTCCTATGCTCCTAATGTCTGCAAATGTGGAGGGTCAACTTTAAGTGATCTGACTTACATACAAATTTGACTTGCCATTTTCACAGGACCGAAACTCCTTCATAACCTGGGGACTGCCTGTAGCTGGCATTTGAGATGTAAAATGGGTCAGGCTGCCTCCATGCATGCACTAAGTAGGCACCCTAGAATTTGCTTCCAGTGACTTTGCATGTCATTGAGAAAAGGATCTCTTCAGTGGGTGAGGACTGGCAGTTGTATGTTTCAATCAACTACCTCCCAATAGTCAAGAAGACCCACAGAACTCCATTCTTAGAAAACTTAGGGGACACGCCTCCTGCTTCTGCTCATAAGAGGGTAGTTTAAAACAGTAATGATTAAGAGATCTGCTCCCATGGGTACCAAGCCAAACCACAGGGTAGCTAGACATTTACTATTAATTACAATGACGGCTCACTGCATTTCATCATAATCGATAGCAAAGCGGTAATCTTCTCTTGGGCAGATGCTCAAGCAGACACTTAATAGCCTCCCTACCTAGTGGTGTTAATTAATCAGATGAGTCTTACCTTTCCTTTGCCTATCTGTGAAGCAGGAGGAGCGAGAAAAACAGAGAGACAGGTAAGCCATACACATTTGTTGCAGACTGGCCAAGAGAGGGGCTCTCGCAGCCTAACCCACTTGTTGCCAGGCCACATCTCCCTCCAACCAGTGGGACCCACAACCAGCGCCTTTCCCACCAAGCAGGCACTGCCACCCTCTCGCTCACACAGGCAAGCACTAACCACCCAGAAGAAGCTGGAGGCCACAAAAGGAGGGAAGGAGCAGAGCCAGCACTGGGAAAAGCTGGGGAAAACAGTCCCTTTGGAACAGCAAGCGCCTGCTGTAACTCTCAGGAAACCTACACATGTGCCATCAGAAATAAGGGATCAGACACTGAAGGCCCAGGGTTAAATATTCAAAAGATGAGGTAAAGGCCCATGAAAAATATATATAAAACACAGCGGTGGGTAAGGAAACATGGCCTTTGCATCCCATAGCCAAGGGGTTTTGGCTCCAGAACACCCTCTGAAGCTGAAATGGGGTCAGGGAATGATTTCGACCAGGACTGTGAAGAAAGGGATGCCTCCAGCAGGCTACAGGGGACGTGAGTGGAGATGCCACCCTGCCCTCCACGACAGTGGGGCTTGCCTTGCCCCCAGCAGGAACTGGAGCTGCCGACAGGACACATCAGTCTGCACTTCCAGCGCCTCCCTTTCCAGGCCCAGCCACCACCATCTCACACAGTTATCAATGGCCTCTCGTGCCGAGCATCTGCCAGCCATCCGGAGGCCAAAGGCCCACGGTCAGTCCACTGGGAGCGAAGGTCGTTCGACCCTTGCCAGGGAGCACAGCCACACATGGCAGCCTGCCAAGGAGCAGGGAGGAAGGCAGGTAGGTGCGTGCCAATTTGAGGGGGCAAAGAGACATTCCAAGACCCTGCTCCGGTTTGAGGGGGGTGAGTTAGAACACCAATTCCAGGGCAGGCAGGGCTTGCACAGGAAGCCAGGGCAGGGGATGTGAGGGTGCTGGAGGTGAACCATCACACTGCAAGCCCCAGACTGAGCAGCAGCGTTCTTCCTTGGGACCAAAGATGAATGAATGCAAGCTGCGCTGAGTCCCACAGATGGCCTCAAAACCAGCTCAACCTGACAGTTTAAAAACCTTACTACTGGTCTTCTTGGAAAGTAAGGAAGCTGTCCTCCTCCTTACTTTCCAAGAAAAAAATAGGAGTAGCCACTGAAAAGGGCTTCTTGTTGCATACTACTGAAACCCAAGTTTGTCTCTAGGCATGCAGCCTCCCTGGCGCTCAGATTAGAGATGCTGCAGAAAGCTTGCCAAAAGCCTCAAGTCCACTGACGCATATCCTTTTCTTCTCATCCATGTTGGAAAAAATGATACTGCCAAATGGTGCTACAAAGAAATCACATCAGGAGTTGAAGCACTGGGAAGGAAACTCAAGAATGTTGGGGTCCAGATAGTTTTCTCCACCACCCTCCCAGTTCTTGGAAAGGGAATAGAAAGGGAAAGAAATATTCCAGGTGAACAACTGGCTATGAAAGTGATGTTGGCACAAGAAATTCAGATTCTAGGACCGCAGACTAAACCACTTGGAAGATGGACTGCTGGCAAGGGATGAGTTGCAAAAGCTGGAAAGAATGTGTTTGGCTGCAGCATGAAGAATTTCATCTGGCCAGCTTTAAACAGAATCCTTTTGGGGAGGAGACATGAACTTGGAGGCAACAGTGGATGAAGACTTGTGCACCAGAACTGAGAGAAAAGCTCCAGCAGTGTCCCAAAACAGACTCCACAATAATGTTGGAAAGAGGCCAGACCATAAAGCACATGGGCTGCAGAGTATGGGAAACAAGCAGAATGAGCGCAAACTTAACACACGAAGGCAAATACGGCCTGATAGGTGTTACTGAAACTTGGCGGGATGTCTCCCATGATTGAAATACAGCAACAGAGGGACATAACAATTGGTATATTTCTGCTCGAAAAGAACAGAAGAAATAAGAGGGGAGGTAGAGTTGCATTATATGTTAGAAATACTTAATATGCACAGAAATACAGGAAGAGGAGGCTGGCAGCCCCATTGAGAGCATCTGGGCCAAAGTCAACCCATCAAGGCATAAAAGAAACATGATAACTGGAATTTAACACCCAATCAAGGAGAAGACAAGGATGATACTTTTGATACTCAAACTGCAAGTATTTCAAAGAAGAGTGTGTGGTAGTAATGGGGGACCTTAATTATCCTAATCTCTGTTGGGTGACAAATTCTGCCAAAAGTGGCTCCTCCAAGAAGTTCTTGACATGCACGGCAGATAACTTTCTTCTACAGCAAGTGAAGGAAGGAACCAGAAGATCAGCTATCTTCAACTTAACATTGACTAAAGCGGACTGACTTAGTGAATAAAGTGGACATTACAGGAACTGCTGATTCTAAAGGCAGCAAATACTAATTTTTCCCACACATGTACCCTGGAGTTTGGGAAATCTGATTTTGTCATCATCATCATCATCACTCCGTTCAATGGTAAGTAAGGTCCCATGGCAAATGACCCTAAGGAAAAAAGGAGTCCAAGATGGGTGGGAGTTTTTAAAAAAGGAAATTTGAAAGGCAAAATTACAAACAGTTCCAACAAACACAAAAGACTGAAGAAAACAGAAGAAATAAAGAGGCTCCACAAAAGGCTTCAAGTTAACCTAAAGACAAACAAAAAAGGACCTGTATAAGAGGGGGAAGGAAAGCCAGGCTGCAGAGGAGTACAGAAAACTTTTCTGACTAACGATGGAGCTGGCGACCTGGGAGGTGGTGGGCTCTTCCACCCTGGATGCATTCAAGAGGCAACTAGGCGGCCACCGGCCAGGGATGCCTCAACCTGGAGCCCTGCATCGAATGGGGGTTGCTTGAGGCATGCTGCCTCTTGCCTAGGCAAGGCCAGGATAACCCAAGGGCCAGTACCTACACCTGGAAACATGGCTTGCACTCCACATTCCCATCTGCCTCTGTGGTCGAGCCCAGCACTGAAGACTGCAGCGCGCCCATCTCA